CACAAGAACGTCGAATCTGAATCACTTGAAAAAAACACGGGGGTGCTTAACTTTTTTCCAGGTGTATATATAATGCATCGTCGTTTCTAGATAGTTTGTAAAGTTTTTCTATCATTAACATTCACGAACATTCTAGGTATTCTAAATCTAATATCATTATAATGTTAGCAGTTGTCTCTAGCAAACAGTTATATTAAAACATCAAAAATACCGTTTAGAACGCATCTAACATATCGCTACACCTGCCCTTCTATTCTCAGGTCAACGAATCTTTAGTTATTGTGAAAATCAGGTAACTGTATATTAGGTTTACCCTTGGACACAATTATTGACGATCCCAAAGAGATGCATATAACTACAATGGAGCATATCAGGAATAATCCCATAATGCTTCAATTAACAGTATTTTCATCAGTCTAATGTCTGTTATTTTTTGTGTAGTCAATTTTTCGCACTTTGAAATAACTTAATGTAATTTAAAGCATCTTTAACTCGACTTCAAAGACAAATTAACCTCAAACTTTAACATTATCAGGCAATAAAAGTGGCGTATTTTTAAATTATAGAAACTGTACGATAAAAATCTTATGTTTTAAAAATTTGTGATTTAATTTTTCTCATTATTGAAAATTTAGAGAAATTGGTTAATGTTTTAGGAACTGAATGTTGATGTATTACTGCGTAAATACTTTGACATCTATATCCCAATTTTACTAACAAGGCCTTACAAAACATTTTACAAATTAATGTTAAAGATTTAGCTGTCAAAATAATTTTGAAATATGTAGAAATAAAAGTGTATGCTTATAATTAAAAAACAATCTTTATACAAAATATCTTTTTTTTTCTGTCTCATGAAAGTAGTGCAAAATTCATTATGATTGATGGACTCCTGGCGGATAACTTCCATTTTATCTTGATTATACTTGATGATAACGTTAGTAACCACCGTACCCTTACCAATGATAATTTAGCTTCTATTGTGTGATTAAAAACATAAAAAGTAAAATCATAATTATAGTAATTAAGAATTAATCATATATCTTATTTTTGTCCAGTATTATAAAATCAAAACTTTGTTATCAGATGCTATCTCAAAGTATCTGGCAGCTGAGTGAAAACGTGAATCTTTTTAACCTAACTAGGTTTAACTTTAACTTGCTTAAGGATTATTTCTTTGCATTAAGTATAATGTTATTGTTAGGCCTAGGCATTGATCTTCAGGTACCAGTCATAAGTTGATGAATCTTGATTTAGATTTGCTATTTTAATTATCCCAATTTGTTAGAATTTATTAAAGTTCGGTATTCTGTTGAAGAGACAATTTAGTACTCAATATTAATAGCATTGTTGTAACTTATATCAACAATAGACATTATGTGCTATTAGTATTACTAATACGTTAGTAAAATTAATGCTGCATAACATTAACTTAAATGTGACTGCCTTCATTTTCAAAATTTAATAAAAAAAGAATTTTGATTAGTAAATTCATAGTAATAATAATAAGACTGAATAAACCCCAAGTCAGATATTAAAATTTAAAGTATTTTTGTTGTTCAGTTTCTAAGTTCCGTAAACCATCACAATTGAGTATAAAGTAAAATAAAATGGTTGATCCATCAATAAACTGTTTATTTGGGAAATGTATTCAAACACTTGATTAGACTTCCAATGTAGATTCAGAGTATTCATACATTAGGCAATACTGTTCAAGTTGTTGGTAATAATATTTAGCTACCCAGAACATATAATTAAAAACTCGGGAGATTAAATGCCACTGTTACAGAGGTACAAATAAAAGTTTGTGTAACAAAAAGGCAGGTTTTAGATAACATTGCTTATTTGTTGAAAATATTTATTTTGCCTTCCTGTTTTGGATTTCAAAACATATATAAATGGCACATTGTTGATTAGTGGAACATAGTCTTTTTTTGAGTATTAATATTCACTTTTCAGCTGTATAATATTTTTGCAAATTAATTTGCAAATCTGAAGGATCTTTGCAGTAAAATCCATCTGATAAAGTGCTTGGGTCATAATTTGGTTTCAAATATAAACTGAGTATCAAACCTTTATAAGGTAAAAGTGATTGATTTTATCAGACAATAAATTCCAATACCATTGATGACTAGTCTACAATCCATCATGAATAGCAATATAAAGAGAAAGAATAGGCCAAATGCTACTAGGTAAGTATATGTCTGTTTTTAGTTTGAATCTTATTGGTTTCCACTGAATAACCCAATCACTGCTATTAAAAAATGTATGGGAAATATTTTCTTTTTCCATAAAATTTGTTTTAAAAAACATACAAAGTTCAGGCCATAATCTGTAATATTGTTGGTACATATATATGCCCCAAATATCAGGCTAAGTATTGTTCTTGCAATTTCAAACTTGCTGTTACCATGCTACAACAGTGTCAAATTATGAAAAGAGTAGCTAGCCTGATATTTGGGCTAGTAAGGATGGAGACTGATCTCTGGTGGGCTCGAGACCTGACACAGTTGCAGCTCATTTGAAAGAGCACTAGTTTAGGGATACTTTGGAATGTTAGTTTTCTAAGATATTCTCACCAAGTGTCATACTGTACCATTTGCTGTCCATGTCACTTTTGTTATTTCAAATACTAGATTTTATTTGGTTAGCAGTATCTTGAAAGGCTTAACTTTTTTATGAAACAGGAGTGACTTTTAAAATAATTTCTGGCAGTCTCAGCACCTGGTTATCCGAGTCATACTGTTGTCTCCATTTCCAGTTACATTGGCAGAGATGAAATGTATTCTGTGATGTGTAAATTGTGTATTTGGTACATCATTTATTAACTGGAAATTCCATGTTAAGGTCCAAATTAGTATGTCTTGATTTTTATTTGCCATTTCATTGGGTAATGTGTCCCAAAAAATAAATGCTTGAGAGGGAAGTAGTCATGACAAAGACAGGCCATCATCTTTTCTGCCATATGCTTTTTCATTAATTGGCTATCGTTTCTAATGTTTAAGTTTCCACATTTTACTTAATTTTTATTTAAAACTGTGACATATTTTTACAGCTGAGAAAATTTAACTATTTTGTAGATGTGGAAAGTATCCTGTATTCTCTCTTCATTTGTTTTGTTTTGTAAGTAGCAGTTAGTCCTATCCAGTTTATTTCATGCTGAATCTGTGAAAAATTAGGAAGGCCAATCAGACTATCCATATTGCATCTGGAGGTTTTTTTATGGTCAACATTTTTAACTTATTTAATAGTATGTTATTGTTTTCTTGAAAAGAAATGCATTTAGTATCAGTATAAGCACAAGTTTTAAATCTTGAAATGTTTAATTTTTTCATCCTTGACACGGTCTTCTAAATTCTAACAGTCATGCACTTACAGCATTTCAGTGTATGTGTGCGTTTTTTTGTTGTTGTTATTTATATGCATTAATTGTTGTGGCTTAACACTTTGTACCCGAACTTATAAAACGACTAAAAATTAAAATGGGTTTAATTCAAGTGAAGTACCAGATGTTTTTGTTTTACAGAAGCTACAACTTCGGTTCCTACGTCAGTTTGTATTAAGAATGTTTTGGCTGCACTGATACATTTAATCATTTTATATTCTTGTGAATAATTCATTTGGCATTATTTAAAGAAATAAATAATAAATAAATAGGTAATGCCATCCTCTATTTTCTGTTTGTCAATGTTTTTGTAAATTAACTAAACTGCTACAAGTCTCTAAGCTATTTCAGAAATGCTGAAATAACAGTGATGTTTCTTTTTTACAATACACATATGATGGCTGTTATTTTACAGGTATATAATTATAATGTACGTGTAGTGTCAGTTTTGTCTCATTTCTGCATATTATAATTGCTTTACATTGCCTAGTATTTGTTATTCACTGTGATTTCTTTCTGAATAATTAAATCAGCTTAGAGAAAAGTCAGTTGTGTCTAGAGCTGAGTGATTAACTCAATTGATATAATCAGATACTTACAAGAATCGATTAGTGTCGGGTAAAATAATTGATTAATCATAATTAGTTTTTCAGTTACTACAGTTTTTTGATGAATGCAACTATCCATGTATTTGAAGTTTTATCATTGTTATTTCGCATTATTAGTTTGAGGTTGTTCAGTTTGTTTAATTAATCTCATGGCTAACAAAAATAATCCAGTAATTGAAATTAGTGTTTCTGATTATTACTATTTTTGATTATTCCAGCTATCCAAGTCTAATTGATTAGTTGAATGTAATCGATTAATGATCCAGGTGATTAATCAGTAAAGAAATTCCACTAATTACCCAGTTTTAATTGCATCAGCACCAAATATTTTAACCTGATTTTTCCGTAGTAAATGTACTTATACATTGTTTGGTTTTATGAAGTTTAAAATTCTCTAATTGCCTGTTATACAGGTTGTTTTTCATTTGACAATACATTAGTTGAAAGAGAGTGCATAATTATACTAAATACTGTTTTAAAATTTATGCAAATGTATGGTTCAGAAGCAGAAATTAAATTTTATGAACTTTTCAGGAGGGAGGAAAAATTTAATTAAGTACGAAGCCTTAAACATTTAAGAATAAATTACTTATGCCAAATACTTTTTAATCATAGTAGTAATGTATAGTGTAAATGAAATGCACATTGTTAAGAAATATACCGAAGTCTTTGAGATTAATTTGAATGGTAATGTTCAAAACATGTACTTGTGTACGTATATTACATGCACACTGCATAAGGTGCATTTACAGAGTAAAAAAAAGTATTTTACAACTTATTAGTGGACTTTTACTTGTCACTAAACAAATATGCTCACCTGATGTAAAAATTTATAAGCAAATTCAAATTAAGCCTGTATAAACAGTTAATAGATTTTGTTTGCTTATCACCAGATGATTGTACATTGCTTCATTAACATACTTGAAGAAAACAAGTTGTTTCTTGTTGGTTAGCCATGCCAGTTACTTGCAGCAAAATTGCGTACATAAAAGCTATTAAGTATGTAATGTTAGAAAAATCTTTTTTTTTTTAATTCAAAAGGTAATATAATCATCAGATCAATACGACTTGGGTGGATGAATTTGGGTCAGACATCATGTAAAATAAATGTTACTTGACAGCTCTTTCTGTGGTTAAATGGTTTGAAACAAACAGACAAATTCCCAAAGGAGTTTAAAGAAGTCAGAATCTTGATTCACATACATAAACACTAAAAATAATCATTCAATAAAGACATATATATAAAACACAACCTATAATCCCAACATAGTTATCAAAATTTACAAGTGAAGGAAGATCAAAGGACATAAGAAACAATATTAAGTATTTTGTTAGCAGGATATTTTGAGAAATATATGTTTAACTATCTGCTATTTCTCAAAGCTGAGCTATATTTTGAAGTATTTATTATACAATACTGTAAATTAAAACTCTGCAATTAAATCAATTAATTGATATAATCGATTGCCTATGGGCATTGCTTAGTGCCTCAAAAATAATTAAACAAAATTATAATTAAATCAATATCTTGAAAATACTCAACTAGTGTGTATAGTTATTACTGTTTTCTATTGTTTCAATTTTCCAAGTAAATAAAATGCTGGCATTGTTGGTTGGTAAGCACGATGGGCTGCCTGTATTCTGCCCACCATGGGTACTGAAACCCATTTTGTTCGATTACAAGTTTGTTTGTTTTTTAGTCAACGCATGTGAAAATAAATTTTGTTTGTAGCCATGAGAACGATAGATTGGTTGAATGTAAAAGATTAACAAGCTAAATGATTAATTGATTAGAAAGTTCCACTAATTGTCCAGCATTTCTGTAGATTAGTTTTAAAAATATAAATTTTCATAAGTCTTTAAGGATTATTATTTTCATATACTGTGTTGTAAAAACTAAGAATATTTCTGATTCTGTTTCACAGTAAACCTGTCAGACCAAAAGGACCACAGGAAAAAAGTGTTACAGTAAGTTGGTGACTCGTTTTGATTGTGACTTAATTTGTTTGTACAATTCTCCTTTATAATAACCTATATAAGTACTTAGAAACTTAGTATTGTTATTAATTTATTTATCTAATGTTTTCTTGATTTCTTTTTTAAATTCTATATACAATTTTTGACAAAAAATTTGGAATTTTGCATCTAAAATGTTTACTCCCATAGAATATAAATGAAATTTTTTAGGAGTCATGTTGTGATTCTAGAAGTGGTTGCTTAAGAATATTTTTTGAGCTCTCTGGTTTATTTTAAAGTAAACCAGTTAGTTCAGTTTTCGTGGAGGGTTCAATTTTAAAATTTCAAACATCTGAAACCATGTTTTTGGTTTGTGCAGCTCCATCAATGTTAAATCCAATTAAAATGGAAATGTAGGAATTTTGAAAAATAAATATCTAAATTTAGTTTTGTTAATTTTTTTATATTTATGACCCCAAATGAGAGAGAGAAATGAAATTTTTTGGAGGTGTTCAAAATTTGCTGCAAATATTTATTTGAAAACACATGGATTGTCATTCAAAAGAAGTAGTGCAAAAATTTTTTGCACAGTTGTTTTTTTGTGAATTTTTCCTGATATTTGTTATCTTTATACTTAAATCACTGTAATCAATTGGTAAAATGTAATTCCTTCTGCATTTTTTTACTTCCAACTGCTCTTGCAAGGAACGTGTTATTTGCTCATATCATAGTGAATTAATATATCTATTAGGCTTAGCTTAGGTTAATATAATACATTTGCTTGGTTGAACATTTTGTTGTTTTAATAAAGATAAAATAACAGTATTTAATTTCAGTTTTTAAACTTGAACCAATAAGTTGGCAGTTGGTAAACGAAAGTAGCTAATGTGTTATCAAGAAAAGTTGTTTCACCTGAAATCAATAAAGTGGAAATATATGGTTAAAAGAAGTTTAATTGAAGAGGCCATCTATCTATTGCTGTATTCTAAATTTAATATGATGTGCCTAAAATGTGGGAAGGTATCTAAACAAAGAAAACTGTGGGGCATAAGCCTACAAAGTAATTCATAAGAACAGAATGTGAAACAGTTTCTTAAAACTACCATAACTGCTTCAAATTATTGATGCATATTTTATACTTCTAACCGAAACTAGCCAAAAGGTAGCATTACAGTACAATGATAAATAGTCAGAAGTCTCAAATGAAATTTGAATATTGGTTTATGTGATAAACAAATAAATTTATTATTGTTGATGAAAATACTTTTATTATGGAGTAATTAACTTAAGAACTCGTAATTCGAGGTTATTCAATATTAAAAGAAGTCAATTTTTTAGAACCATTTCAAGTGTAATAATACCATGACAGAGGCATTTGTCATTGTCATTAAACTTATTGAACTTGATAATATTTATAATGCTTATATTCATGCTCGTTTAATTCTGTTATTCAGATTATGGTAATACGTAGAGAGCTAATAAAGAAATTCTGTATATATTACCCAGGTTTTAATTATATGGAGGCGGTCTGTTATATAGTACTGTAGAACTTTTAAACTAATTTTGTAGCAAGTTACTTTCATTCACAGATTGATGCAATTTCACAATATTTATATCTTACAAAAATATATAAAATTTTACTTATTTTTTCCAATACAAGTTATCTTTTATTTCAATGCATGATATTTTCATATAACTTTTGTTTTGTAGGTTGAAGGTGTGTATTGTAATACAAGATTCATGCACAGTGCTGCTTCAATTGTGGTAAGTTTTTCTGTGTGTATTAGCATATAGTTTAGTTTGTTTGAAATTCTCAAAACACTGTTGAACTTTTTGTTGTTTGCCTTTGATGTTTTTCATTTAAAACCTTTCATTAAGAATTCACATGATAATGTGTTGTATACAATACATGATTTGCACAAATCAGTCGATCAAAATTTTAAAGAAGAGTTTAGAGAAAAGAGCACGGTACCCGTTAACCCTATTCGTATAGGTGAGCAAAGTACACATGTCACGACATGTTACATTCAGTTAACATTTTCACTGCTACTGTACGCACATGTTCGTCAGCTAAAACATTGAAGCAAATAATTTATCGGAGTCGGCATTCGTTAGAATTCAGTTCTACCATGATGGCACTCGTGTGGAGTCTTCTCTTACAGAAAATTTACTTTATATATTTTCTGGTTGGCTTTTATAAAATGGATAATAATAATAGTACTCCTTTAACCCTATAGTTTATTCTCCTTTCAAGTAACTAATTTTATGCTCTACTTTTGTCCATCAATAAACTGCATTGTATGGCAAACAGTTGACCATTAAACAGCAAATTTATATTTAATTATCAAATGTGAATAAAACCAATCTTCACTGTAGATTTTTTTCACTGCCCCGTTAATTTGTCCTGTAGCAGTCTTGTAATTGGTGATGACAAAACAGCATTTAAGATAACTCTCTTTGTCTGCCACAAGTAGATGTTCTGGAGGTCTTTTGGTCACTTTCAGAACTTGTTAACTGGGCTGTATCTACGACAGCCAAATGTAAATCGAAACGGTTGTTTTTATGCAGTACAGGAAAGTTAATGCGTTTGTATGAAATACCTGAGATTGCAAAGCAGTAAGGATTTTATAATGAAACTTTTAAAAGTTTTTTTTTTTGTCTTTTTCATAATTTATTTATCAAATTATTGAATTATTTGTTTTTCTGTATGGACACTCATATAAAGCATTATCCAATCACGTTATCTGGGGATACAGATTTTAGATGTCAACATTGATATCTTGTAAAAGTAACTGGGTTTTGGCTTATCTCACGAGTATTTTTTTTCTAACAGATTGAAGTTTATATAATGTACATGTACTTATTTTTTTTCAAATTATACTTTGTGCTTATGACAGGGTTGTATTGTTCAAGTTCAAACAAAGGACGGTAGCATAACTGAAGGAGTTTTCAAGACATTTTCCCCCAAGGTGATGTAATTTTTTCAGATATTACGTAAAATATGATTATAAATGGTAAAAAATATTGAATAATTAATTTTATCCATTTTTGTTAGTATGAGATATAATTAAGAGGATACAATTAGAAAAGTAAATTAGTCAAACATGGGTTATCCAAAAAATGTTAAATTTAAGAAATTAAGAGGATTGCTTATTTTCCTCTTAGTTTGAATGAAGAAGGGCCCTTTTTTATTTTTTTTCACAAGTTTACTGAATAATTTACTAAATAACAAAGTTTTATGTATTAATCTCAGACAAAAAACACACCCATGACTCAGTTGTAAGCTTGAGAGCTTATAACGATACAAACTTGGGGTTCAATTCCTGCAGTTGGCATGGCATGGAAAGCCCACTTTGCAGCTTTGTACTTAAAACAAAAATAATTTTCTTCACCTCAACTCAATTACCAGTTAGGTATAGAAGAACCATGTGATATAGTCAGCAGAATATATATAAATAAAAACAAATTACAATTGTAAATTTTTTCTTCTTCAGGAATTAAGCAGTTCATGGAGATACACTCGGTTCTGATAACCAAGTATCTTTAACGTATCTGAAGAATGCTTGAAATAAACGTAGATTTCTGCAGGAAAATGTGCACAGACAGCTTCATAAGTTTGAATTTCAGAGTGAAACTGTAAAGTGATTCTTGTTCAGCCTTAGATGCCACACTGTGTCTTTTTCTGTTGCCTATAGATTATTCACGGTTTCCGTTTAGTGTTGTGTACCGAATACTTTTTCTTGTACCAAGTATATTTAATGTATCTGTAGAATGCATGAAATAAACGTAGATTTCTGCAGGAAAGTGTGCACGGACAGCTTCACAAGTTTGAATTTCAGAGTGAAACTGTAAAGTGATTCTTGTTCAGCGTTAGATGCCACACTGTGTCTTTTTCTGTTGCCTATAGATTATTCACGGTTTACATTTAGTGTTGTGTACCTAATACTTTTTCTTGTACCAGCTAGAAATCAGTTGTTTGATTTTTGTTAAAATTGAGATTGATTTACATCATACATAACCAGCAAAGTGATTAAAATATAATTTTATATTCAAACAAATTTATAATATTAGAAATTGTTTCTTAATATTTACATAAACAGTTAGGTAACTGAACTGCAGCTAATTGATTTTAAATTAACACAACTTTTGTAAATCATATGTTTATTCACAGATGGAGCTAGTGCTGGAAATGCCATACAAAGTGGATAAAAAAGCTGCCAAAGTTTCATCTATCCACAATTTAGATCCAAGTCTCGGTAGTTTTATTAACAACTTTAACACTCAAGATTATGCACCTGAAAAACTTATTTTTTCTCTAGAAGACGTCGTATTGGTTAACGCTGTGAATGTAGACTTAGACTATGCAACTAAATGTAAAGGTAAGTTGTGGAGATTCTACCGTAGTTTTGTAATATATATTTTTTTTCTTAATTTATGGTTTAAATACCTTTGAATAAAATTAGAAGTATATTTCCATAAGAATATGAGAAACAATGCTAAGTACAACAAAGGTTCCAGAGGTGTAGGAATGAGGAACATCCACTACAAGAAGCAAATAATATTTTATATTTGAAAAATTTGAAGAAATTGAGACAAGCAAGGTCCACCTTTTGAAAATACTCATCATAGGGTATCGGATCTTTGTGTGAAATTGATTTCTTGAATCAATTTGTTTTTCTGACATCAAGAATTTTATTTGAAGATATCACTGCAATATACTTCTTTAATTTCCGTACTTAATTTTTGTGTGTGTGTGTGTTCGTTACATATTGCTCAGCTTAAATTTGTTTGAAAAGTACCAAACTCTAGTGATAAAGTCCTAAATTTTACATTGCTTTTCTACTTGTCATTTGCATGTAAAGCAATAAATCATAATTATATCATAGTTGGTTAAAATGTATTAATCTGCCTGTGCTCTTGGATAATTCTTTTTTGTGGTTTAATCTCTATGGCTCAATTTGTTGTATTGTTTATGCTAATAAAAAACTACTTTGCAATAAATCGTAATTATATCATAGTTGGTTAAAATGTATTAATCTGCCTGTGCTCTTGGATAATTCTTTTTTGTGGTTTAATCTCTATGGCTCAATCTGTTGTATTGTTTATGCTAATACAAAACTACATTGTTTTAGAAAACAATTTAATGAAAATTCCATGTAGAACTTAGTAAGTTTTTCAATTTTTGATTCATTTGTCTGGTTTTTAATAATTGTAGTAACTTGTACAATTTACTTCACCTGTAACTTTAAAATATATTATAAATTCAAACAGTATAATGGAAAATGTTATTTACAGATTACCGCTATCGTGTTACACAGATGTTTAACATTCACATTCCTATGTGATTATTCAGTGTGTAATAAGTGATAGGAAGAAAGGCTATGTTTATTTCCAAAGTAAAGAAACAAATAAATGTGTTAAGCATATCAGATTAAAATGTTGATTTCTAAGTTTTTATTTTCAGTATTAATTGATAGTTGGCTGTTGCTGAGTCAGAGAATATTTGTATTTGGAGCATGTGCACCAAGTACCACCTCTGTTTAATATTGTCGTGAAATTACTAGCATATTTTTGGCAATATCTGTGGCAAAAAAAAAATCATTATAATACTAGAACGTAAAAGTTAGCCTGCCATCACATTGGTGTCACAAGGCACATGTTAGTAACAGTTGTTTGTAGATGTTTGATTTAATTATATACGTGAAAAATTGTTCATATTCTTTACTGGAGTGTAATGAATTGTTTCTAATTTCTTTGGCAACCAGCATAATCTCAACATGAATAAGAGTGATTTAAATGTTAAAACAGCAGCTGTTTAAGTTTGAATATTCGAGATGTTGACTAAAAAAATGTAGCGATTAAACATGGAAATGTAAAATTAAATTAACAGTGCTTTTTTAAACTTGATTAAGAGTGATTTAAATGTTAAAACAGCAGCTGTTTAAGTTTGAATATTCGAGATGTTGACTAAAAAAATGTCGCGATTAAACATGGAAATGTAAAATTAAATTAACAGTGCTTTTTTAAACTTGTTTTCATTCTAACTGAATTGTAACTCTTGCAAAATTTTATCAGTTAGACTTAAAGAATTAATTAATGGTACTGTGATTTTGTAAGAACCAAAAAAAAAAGCTTAGCAAGAATATCACAATTAAATAGCAGATTGTTATTCTAGTATAACCTTTTCTGTAAAAAATGAAGCAGTAACCTAAAAAGTAAGTAATATTTTAGAATATGTTAAAGAAAATCAAACAATTCTCCAACACCTTTTGTGAGAGAGAAAAAAAACATGTATCACTTGAAATGTTTGTATTGTAACAGCTGTACAATGTTTCTCTTTTGTAAAGGTTTCACAGACTCTTCAATAAGCAAGTTTAATGGCCAGATTGTGGAGAGAGAGCTCGAGCCATGGGAAGGACCACCAGAAGTATTTGATGGGACGGTCTCTCTAGAATCAAATGACGATACAGTACGTACAGAGCTTTGTTAATTTATTATGTACAGAGGTGGTTAGTTATCTTAACTGACCCCTCATGACCAAGAAACCAGCTATCAGAAACATTACATTCCAGAGAATTCACTTATTGCTATGATTAAAAACAACTGTAGAGTACTTGAAAATGTTAAATGAAAAATATGATGTCATAAAATTATTTAATGAATCGATGCAAATACTTTTAAGAACATACCATAAAAGATTTTAGATTACATTAAAAAAATATGATGACAGAATAGTTAATTCATAAGACTATACATTAAAATTTACTACTTCTGATGTAAGTTAACTAGGATTTGAGTGTCACATAATTAATTACAAATTACACATATGAAATACATACTCGAGAGCCTTTCTCAAGTTTTTTCAAGTTGTTTCGTATGAACACATCATTGGATAACTTGTAGACGAAGGTTTAAAGCTATGCAGTTCTAAGACTTAACCTTAATTTGAAATACTCCAATGAGACTGTATCTTAATTTGAAATATTCCAATGAAACTTTACCTTAATTTGAAATACTCCAATGAGACTTTACCTTAATTTGAAATACTCCACCTTTTAAACTTATTTTTTATTGGTAGGTTTTGTTACTAATTAACAGTAACAACATGTCTGAGAGTTTTGGATAAAATATAATAGAGTAAATTAACATGTCAAAATAAAAAACTTTTTGTATTTTTTATTTTGTGCAATGTTTTAGGCAGGTGACATTGTAACACAGTCTGTACTGTCTGGCGAAGGGCATCTGCCTCAAAGTTTATCCTTTATTTTCTCTTATCCAAGTTTTTCTTCTTGTGTCTTGCAGAATAACATTCATTCAGGAATATATCTGAAAATATTGTGATCTATGTAGTATTGTATTTTTCTTCTTAGAAAAATGGATGGGATCCTAATGAAATGTTTAAAACAAATGCTGAAAAGTATGGAGTGACATCAACATACGATAGCACTTTACAAGGCTACACGTAAGTTTGTTTGGATAGTTATGTTGAAAGTTGTGTATGATAAAATGGATTTTCAACTAAACAGGAATATCTAACTTATGGACAAGTGAAATTAACACTGGAGTGCTATACAGTGGTTATTGTACACATTACCAGTATGGTATTAAGTTTGTTTTCTGACCATATTAACGGAAAAACTCGTACACGAACCTTAAATCTGATTGTGTTGCTGTTTACCAATGGCTTAGAAACTTGTCATTTAAAACTTACTCTGTTTATTACTGTTTACCATTGGTTTACGAGCTTGTCATTTAAAACTTATTCTGTTTGTTACTGTTTACCACTGGTTTACGAGCTTGTGTAATTTATAACGTATTCTGTTTGTTACTGTTTACCACTGGTTTACCAGCTTGTGTTTCTCTTAAACATTAAAGGAAATTTTTTTGTGTGTTCAGGTTAAAAAAATATTTTTCTTTTATAGTGCATGAAGAGTAGAAATTTCTTAGTTAAGATTCTGGATCAAATTTCATGAGAACCAAAAATTTTTCATCACTCATGATTTTTAAAATGTGTTTGTACCCATAACCTCATTTAACGTTTATCACCATGGGTGTTTGTTTCCCACATAATTTTGCGAATCTATCATATATATTTAATACGTGTCAAATGTTTTTTTTTCTTCAGTATGTTGAGTAATCTGTATAACAAAGTGCTTGATAATGGGCCTTGTCAAGTAATGCCTCAGGCACGACCAGAATAAGAATTATCTTTATAAATAAGAGGTATTTACAAAACAACTGACCATAGCATGCTCAAAAAGACAAAATTATAAATCAACCAAATACTTTTATATAAATCATGTATATGTATTTTGTACTATTGTTTAGTTTTTAAATCTTGTTGTATTTTAGTTTCATTATCCACTATTACACTCGTTTATGTTTCTCTCATTTCCCTATGACGACTTAACCTTGTTATAATAAACTCTAATAATTCCGAAGTGCTTAGGACGCAGTGACAACTATTAAACGTATTTCTTGTTTAAGGTCAATGCATATTTTCCATTGGTACGATAATGAAATTTGATTATCTTTTACTCTGAAAAGCGTACCTTTAGAACGAAAGAACACAGAAGAATATAAACAACAAGAAGCCAAAGCTGTGAAAATAGCCCTAGAAATAGAGAATACTCAACAGCATCATGCAAGAACAGCTCTAGAGAATGGTGATGAAGAAGAAAGATATAGTGCTGTAATAAGGCCTACAGAAAACATGCATAACTGTTCCAGGTATGCGTCTTAATATTCTTTATTTTGTGTTATTTATTCTAAGAGAAATATTAGATTCAAGTATTGTTATTTAAAGTTTTTTGTAACAGTACCGTATGTTTGTTTCAAAGTTTAATGCTGGGTCAACTTAAGGTTTAAGCGTGAGTGTGAAAGCTGTCAGCAGTATGTCTGTTTTGTGGTAATCATACAGGGTAATGTAAAAAGTCGTGATTTCTTTTAATTCCTGCCATTACAGCTATTTGAACAATGTACTATCAATATTGTGACACAGTAAGATTATTTCTACACATTTTTCCAAGGCTAATAACCAACCATTGTAAGAAATACAAATGTTACTTAGAAAAACTCGTCGTGGTAAGGTGGGGCTGAGGAATATCATGGTGGCTTTTGTAACATTTGCATCATTCTATACTTATCCTAATGGAATAGATGTCTCGTGTAAGAAATTATTTTTATTAAATATGAAGTCACTAACGTGAAAGTAGAGTGATTACATATTATTTCAATTTGCATTTGATTGATAATTGTTTTTCAGCTGCTGCTACATTATAAACTGTTTTTTACCGTCGGTTATCATGAAAATCACAGAAACTTCTTTTTACCTAAACTGTATGTAACAACAACAACAAAAATGGTTTGATGTGAAGGAAACTGATTTAATTTTAATTTCTAATTATGTTGTTATGATTGACCTTACAGTAGATACGTTCCACCTCAAAGAAGAAGAAATATTCCAGGAGGTAAACCGGTACGAAACGTTACTCAGCCGTCTTCACAAAACCAGTCAAAGTTAACACACCATGCTGGTGCACCGGTGTATCCTCATAATAATGGCAGATTTGTAGCTTCCATACCAAGTCCTACAGTTGCCCCCCTTAACCATGACTACTCCAAGCCTCCGTTAACTTCTCAGACCCCAGTTATTCCAGCTCAGCAACGACCAATGTCACCTCATCGTGCAGCTCGTTTTCAGGAATCTAAAAAAATAAGAGTAAATGGGAATGAAATGTCCCAACTTAGTAAGTTGTTTTTTTGTTTGTAATTGTTTATGTCTACAGTTCTTTTAAAGACAAGTTGCCTATTGTTAAATGATTGTCTCAGATTTCAGCTGCTTTCTATATTATTGTTTAGACTCGTTCAAAATAAATGTAAGCATACTTTAAATCTTTCTGGACTGGAGACACAATTTTACCTCTTGGTTTGTCCCTTCTTAAAGTGAAAATACTTTAACTGAATAAAATGCAGGTTACGATTACAAAATAGTATCTACTTTTTGGGATGAATTTAATAGAAAGTTTATATATTTTCTTTCTGAAGACTGTAGAACAGAAGAATCGAAGACAGCTATTTTGACAGGAAACTTACCAATTGCTGGTCAGAACTCCAGTAAGGCAACTCCAGTATCTCAGTCTGTCACTTCGACAGTAAAACCTTGTGAAAAGAAAAAAGACTTGGAGAAGAATGGAGGAAATCAAAAGGGTGAAACTAACTATTATTTACCATTTCTTCAGTTATTGATAAACAGTGACCATAGTGAGGTCCTAAAGTTTCCAGTTTTATAAAAAGTTCCTTAAAGTCCTCTTTTTAAAGAAATGGTTTCTAAAGTTCCAATTTAAAAAAAACTGTCATGAGTTTTCCTTTTTACTTTTTAAAATATTGGTTTCTCCAGCAAATTGTCGGTTGGCCATACCCCTCGTAGGATCAAAACTGAAGAATGATCCATTGGTTTGAGATTATATATACTACTCCATCATCTGTATCTAGTTCACTTGTTTAATAAATAAAAAGATTTCAACTTTGGCTTTATAAATTATAAAAATGTTATATAAATGATTTTTACAGTCCTTTTTGCCCTCATAAAGTTGGTAACGTGGTTCCTAATTCATGAGTTTTCGGTTCCTTTACACTTTATTGTTATGAACACTGTGATAATTCATTGTTACAAATAGAGCAAGCACTTACAGTTCTTCCATTACCTTTCCTTAAGACATGAGATATCAAAGTTTATTTCAAGGAAATAACATACCTATTGTTAAATATAAATTTATAAGATCGTCAAGTGGGGATTATTACCTTTATTTAAGACACGAGGTATCAAAGTTGGTTTCAAGGAAATAACATACCTGTTGTTAAATATAAATTTATAAGATCATCAAGTGGGGATTATTACCTTTTTTTAAGACACGAGATATCAAAATTGGTTTCAAGGAAATAACATACCTATTGTTAAATATAAATTTATAAGATCGTCAAGTGGGGATTATTACCTTTCTTTAAGACACGAGGTATCAAAGTTTGTTTCAAGGAAATAACATACCTATTGTTAAATATAAATTTATAAAATCGTCAGGTGGGGATTATTACGGGATACATTTTTATTTAGTTGTTATTTTTTTAGGTTTTTTTGTAAGAAAACAAAGCAAAATTATCATAATAAATTAGCAAATTTTTAATTAACTTTTTCTGCCTTGAAATTTCCAAGTCCTCTGAAAGCTTACTTTATATTGTTTACTAAAATATTTAGATTATGAAAAAACAGCAAAACTGAAAATGTGAATTAATTTAATAGAATTAATTTAATTTAATTGAAATAGATTAATTACTAAAACAGTTCTCTGAATTTCATATGCCCAGTGAAACTATAGTAAACAATAGAAAAGCAACTGTTGCTTATGGCTTTGTTTAGAAGCTATTTATTTTATGTTATACAGTCATTATGTATCTAACATCTAAAAGAAGAAGTTTGGGAAAGTTAGATTCTAGATTCATGTATTTTTTTTAATATCCATATCAAATAGTTTGTGACTAGGTAGCTTCCTAAACTCTCAATACGGGGTCGGTCAATTTGACCGAGTCACGTGACCTTTTGTACTCATTTGAAGTTGATATAAATTTAATACTTATAACTCAATATATTGGGTATATCCTCATTAAATTTGGCAGTCTTTCAGTTAATATTACAAGTCTTTCACATGCAAAAAATATTTTCTCAGTGAAGTGGTTCTAATAAAATAAAGATTTGTCCATGAATATATTGAGAATTTGTTTTGAATACTCCATGTGAAAAGTAATTTTCGTGTTAAAATTAAAAATACTCTTCGTCGTCTTAAAAAATCTCAAATTTTCTTTGTGTAATCCCTAAAACCTCCTAAATGCATTTCAAACGCTTTTTTTTTCCGCTAAATCCTCATAGTTTGTTATTTTCTCTACCCTTTCTATAAACAGGATTGGTCAAATCGACAGACATCGTAAACACCAAAAAAAATTGAAATTAACCTAAATTAACCTTCTTTTCTTTCTAGAATGACTTCAAATAGTAACATTAAACTACCTTTGTTTATCCTAAGTATCTCTAAGTTTGTAACAATATACGTCTATTTGTAATTAAATTCTATTGTTTTATTGCCCTTTGAACCGTGT